ATAATGGCAGTCATTTTTAATGGAATAATCCGGTAAACGAGCAGACAGATCACCTAATGGTAAGCAATCGGCGCCGCCCATAAGACACGCGAAACACCAGAGGCGTTACAAGAGCGTTACCGGCCTTTTGAAATTTGGAATATGGATTATTAGGGATTCGGGGATTGAAGAGATTGAGGAGAGGGGTAATTGGGGAGGTGTCAACAAATACTAAATGTTATATTATCAACTAGCGACTTGCCCCGGCTTCGCACTGGTGTAATATACATGTGTTATACATATAAACTTTCCTTAACAGTTTGACTACCGACAGAAAACTGTTGAAGGTAAATCCTCCGCTATCGTGGGACATACCTTGTCCCCCATGGCGTTCAGGTGTTAAGAATCACTCTATCTATTAAAAAACCGTATCAAAATCCTTTACGTGCCTAGTTTTAAAGATCTAAGCATACATAGGGATAGACAGACGGCGGATAGCGACTTTGTTTTATACTATGTAGTGATTAGGTAGTATCTACTAATTGCCTATTCTAATCAATTTATTTGTCAATATACCGGTGTGTACAGGATCTTTAGTGTTATTTAGCTCAGTAGTGCAGGGTTCCGTCCTTCTGAAGTTATGAGGTCAAGTTTAGTGACTTAACCCCGTATTGTTAGTTAGCAAATAACTGTATGATCAATAAATACGTCAGTTATTTGATTTCCTATCGGATTTAGGAGGTAACTAATTACTGTTTCAAGTCAGTGCAAACAAAGTATTGTTGCATAGAATTCTACATACAAAATTATGTACTAACCTCATTATTTTATTGTACCTACCTAATAAATAATTACCGTGGGAAGGTACAGAGGAAAACGCTTGAATAGTTCTGAAAATATTTGTATGAGATAATCGTATGTGTGGTTTCAAAACGAGGACATTGTTTAGGTGAACCTAAATACCTGCAGTTCGCATAGTTACATAATATCAAGATACCTCTCTTTATAATTTCAATTACATTAATTGCCTAGTGTGAACAATTTCATAACACATGTGAAAACCTCCCGGAGGTACCTATTTTATCAATTAAACAATTAAATATGTTACTTATTGAACTATCAACTATTCATCTTCAGTCCTCCTTCAGACTGCCTCGTTGGCCGAGTGGTCGCAAGTGCGACTGCCGGGCAAGGGGTCTCAGGTTCGATTCCCGGGTCGGGCAAAGTATTACTAGGTTTTTAAAAAAAAAAATTCTCAGTGGTAGCACGAAGTCTGGAAATGTGCCTGGTATATGGCAATAGGCTCACCCCCTATTACATGGGACTCATAACATAAATAGTGAAAAGTGGGTGTTACTTCTGTGTGCACCTCTGCCTATCCCTCCGGGGATAAAAGGCGTGATGTTATCTTCAGTCCGAGTGAGCTGAAATCGCTCAAAACTCAAGTTAAATAAGATCTATTAACTTGAAATAGCGGTGAAAAAAGTGACCAACAGTTAGTCAGTAGGTAGGCCTTTTGTAATCATGTACCTATAACTTTTCTAGGTTAAAATATCATAGTTATGTCAAACTAACCACAGATTATGTTACGTCACCTTACGAGTATGACCAATGTCTTTACTTATTCAATGCAATATTAAATATGAAAGTGAGTTCTTTTGTTACGCTTTCGATTTCGATAAATGTTGGTGGAGAGATATTTGGAATACGTTACAGGAATTAACAAAAATAAAATTGAAACAAATATCAGCCTACATTCCACGTGAGCTAACCACAGTTAGGGTTGCAAACTTTTTTTAGAAATAGAGCATTTAAAAGAAGGTAAATAAAGAGTGCGGACTTACAAAAAAGAGTATAATTTATGTTATGCTTTTAAAAAAAAAATGTACTTTTTGTCTCATCAGTCTAATAAGCTCGATAGGTAGGTTATTGTTCGATGTCTATACTTCAATTTGGTCCAGTAATTTTCAAAACAGAGTGGTATTGTGTCAAAAATTGAAATATCAAATTAGTTTTAAAAAAACTACAAAACACAAAATGTTTTTGAATAGATCGCTTATGATACTTTCAAGCTAAAAAATCTTTGGACCACTGTAAATGGGCCTGTAATTAGCAGGATTAAGATTAAATAGCAGACTTTTTATTCTGATCATGGGTTATTTGCATATTATTACAGACTGGCACTAGTTACGTAAAAAATGTGTTAAAAAGAGTATTCTAGCGTCCTCTATTAGTGTCATAGATTGTAGAGTACGCCTACATGAAATAGGGGACAATACTCTATATTAGAGTACGGTTGGCAACCCTAGTCCACTGCCCAAATAGAGTTTTCACAAAAATTGCGCACGTGGAGTTTTGTTTAGCATCAGTTTAGCACCTCGTTACAGCGGCGACCACCGCAACATCGTCTTGTTTGCATCACAATCAATGTAATCGAGCACCTCCGTTGTAACTTGTACCTAATGTTGTAACTGACAACCCGCAGTGGGCAGGTGCACATCAACCTACTCCGGGTCTCTCAATTTATAATGAATTTTATTATAAAACGTTAAAGTTTAAAATGTAATACAAAATGGAGTAAATTTGGTATGCTATTGTCTGCACAATAATGCTTTAGTAGTTTGATAAGGATAGTAATTTAAAATATAATTTTGTAATTTATAATTGCAGGATAATAAATTATGATAAGTACCTATTTATAGATAAGTACCTATTTATAGGTACTTACCTGGTTCCGAAAAGTGAATGAACTTTTCAATGCCAAGTTTGTTAGTAAAACACCTTCATATAACCAATTAATTACATAAGGTGAAAAGTCATCATAGCAAGAATAAAGCCAGAAAATCTTAATAGCACTATCGGTCTGTAGTCTCTACCTACACCTATGAGACAAAGGCTTGAGTTTATGTATGTAATCCAATTCAGGATTCAGTTCTATTAAAATAATTACTTATTTCCTTTCAGTTTGATAATACAGATAACGTACAAGTAGGATAAGTAATCACAGGTAATTGTTGGTTTGCTAACCTCCTCAAATTAACGTTGTTGATAAACCAGGGTTAGTCTAATGTCATAATTAGTTGATGGTTGCGAATTTTGACACAACGTCCCTCTTCCGCCAATTATCTAGCTGCTGATAACTGATAACATTCCGTAGAAGACGCAACTGTTACGATGTTCTATTTTTTTTTCGTTTTTAACGTTAATTGACAATCATTATTTCATGTTTTAATTATAAACATGACATTTGGTTTCTATTATATCCTGAAAGTGTTCCTTATTTTAAATAGACATTACTTTTGTTTTATTACTTGTGGTTTCATGGTTTGTCCTCGTTTACTCGAAGATTTATAGTGTAGACACGGGGTTGAAACACGAGACCTTCTTTTCAAATAAGACGAAGACCTTGTCTGGACCGTGTCTTTCTGCGTACACATTCTTCTCAATGTGTAATTATTATTTGATACAAACTTGTCTTAAGTGCGACGGACAATTTGCTAGCGAGGAAGAGTTTACGTAAGAGTCGCCTCAAAATAAGAAATATAAAATATATGCAAATTAATGTTCATGAGAACAGAAAGATGAATATAAAGTCAAACGCCAATTGTTCGTTCGCACATACCTATTGCTAAACGAAACGAGACAATTTTCCTAAAGACAATGACAGACATGTTTATTTGCTATCTATCGTAATTATATAGAAATCATGGTAAGGTAACCAACCTTTTGATGAGCTCTACAGCCTTGTTCCGCAACATGATGGCAATGTTATATGTGACTGCACTCTAGTTTACTCACTGAACCATTGTCACCCGTAAGACTGCGGTAATGCAACACTCGCGATCGCAACTCTCACTGCACCGCGCACCAACCAACGGTATTGCAAACTTTTTCTTTTATTTTCGTAGTTATAAACTATCACATTGTTGAGATGCGGTTGTCACGAAAGTTGGCAGCCATTTGAACTGAGTGGCCGGCTTGCCAGGCAGACGGGAAAAGTGCGACCACGTGACGACAACAATAGCAACGGACACGCATATAATGATAATTGTACGGTGAGGTCACAGGCCAGTGATAACCGACCCTCAATACATTCACATCGAGACCGCAGATCTTCTCTGATACAGGGATCTTTGATGTCTAACAAACGACTTTTAACTCAAATATAAAAAAAATAAGTTTATACGAATTGTTTATTCTTTCAATAAACAAAACGACTGCAATTGACAAAAGCCAAAAATTACATTGGGAAAATGTAGCTGACTAGCAAGTTGCTTGTTCGTCAAGTGCATGAAATTCAGTGCACATGTTCTTAATTTTACAAATTAGATGCGGCTCATGTTTCTTTTGAATAGTGCATAATTACGTGGCAATTAATTTTACAGAAAAAACGTATGAATGGATTTCATTTTTTGTATGATACAGCAAAAAATTCTGATTAAAACACAGGTTTACTCTGGCAAGTCAAGGATTACTTTTTTTTTCCTTAAAGATAAACTTGAACGCATCTTGAATTTATTATAATTAGTTAGTAGTCCCAATCACCACTGTCGACAAAGAAAAAAAAACAAAATAGCTCGTGACGCTATAGTACAAATATCGATAAATACGATAACGTAATAACTAAACAAGCTGCTATTTGTTCAGACTAGTAACTAATATACCTACTACTAACTGACGTACTTTACTGGTAACGATTTAAAAACGTGTCATCCTTCTTTGAGATCAACCGTATTTACGTTGGAGTTTATCACGAATATTCCTCCATATGTATTTAGTTTTATTGAATGATGATGTTCCTTTGTGACGATGATTCCGAGTACAATATGTTAATTAATTAGTTTAGGTGCAAAAAGTATTACTTAACTGAATCATGAACAGTCACAAGATCCTAATAACACAAGATGGTTATGTTTTTGGCTTACTCACGTAATTATTTGACGAGGAACTCGACTAGTTTCAAGCTATGCTGGAGGCTCATATTCATGAGCAGCATTCCGCGACCCGCGACGCGGCGGCTGTCGAGCTGCTACTAAGTATTTAGTATGTTTCACGAAAATTATAATACAAACAAAAGCTGGCGCTTCTAGTGGATCGCCATTTTAAATGTTGTTAAATTCAATTGTCTATTTAATCCTACTTTGAAAATTAAGATAGACAAATTCTAATTTCTAATATAAATATTTAGAAAACTGTGTCATGAAGTTGATAAGAATAAACAACAAATAGACACGTACTTACGATATTCAGGTTACCTAAACCGTACCTACTCAATGACCTAATAAAGTTCTAGCACAGAATGAAGTGGTGATAGTACAATTTGTATGTATCATGAATCCTATGTAATAGCTGTGGGTCAGCTGTGAGCCTATTCTTATTCACCGAGAGCAATTTCAGATTCCGTGCTTTTAGGAGTATTCGAATCGAGACTTGCGACTCTCGATTTCAAGACACATTAGGCCCTCCAGTAGACTACAATCATCAATTGATATCTATTGCCACTTTCATTTGATAATGAACGATACAGCTCACAATATTCAATGGTTATTGTATCGTAAACATAAAAGTACAAATAAAATGAGCTAGATAGCAAATACACTCGTCGTAAAGGACTTCATTTCATTGATTTATGAATCAAATGTAACTGTAATGATTCTTTCTCAGAATGAACTTGAACGCACTGAAAGTAAATCAGGCTTTATGGTGCCTGTTTCAACACCTAGAAGAAAAAGCATTATCCGTCAGCTAGACAAACCAACCAGAGCCTTAGTAGTGTATACCTAAAGTATTATGTTGGCTCATTATGTATTCATTGTATAAGTTAATTAATTATTTGTCTATCGACAAGTTATCTTCATATCCCGCATTCCAATATGGTAGGTACTTAAAATTCACAATAAATCACAATGATTACCTTCAGATTACAGACACGCACTGTTTACCTATTTCCTTATATATAGGTAAATTACTAATTAACTAACGTTAACAAAAGTATCTTTGTTCTAATGTAGTATGGAAGCTGATAAAATAAATTATTGCCAAGAATAATCGACTTCTTTGAAAAGGTTGAATAGTTTCTTGTTGTTTTGTAAAACGTGAATTTAATGTCAGATAGTATATACGTGCGCTATGACCTTAAAATAGATATTTGTCTTACTACATAGGTATACCTAAATAGATATCCTCAATTCCTAATGTGCAGTTGTGCAATAGCATTTTAATACGCAAATAGAAATGAGAAACTATAGGTATAAAGAGAGATAATTGAGTTGAGAGTTGAACGAAAGTTGAACCGAACGGTCTTCATTTCCAGAAGACCGTTCGGTTCAACTTTCGTTCAACTCTCAACTTTTCCTAACGATCTAAATTCTAAAACATTTGTCTTGACAATATTAGACTCGTTACAATTTTAATACAATGTCGTAAAGTACAAAAAGCGAACAAAGCAAGTAAAAGTTAAGAAATCTGTCCTGTTTCAATTGTTTTCGCATGAAAATTGAGGGACATTGACCGCTACGGTTTAGTTGCGTTACTACTTGCGTAGCTTTCAACAAAACTGATTGTTATAATTTCATCATCGTCACTTAAAACAATAACGTACAAAATACAATAAAGAGGGTCAATACCTTAATCATTGAACTGTCACACCTACCAATTATTTGCGAAGGATGATTGGCAAACTGTTGCGCCACTGTCGCGCGAGGCCGACCTCATGGTGTGCACTCATTGTTAAAGGGAAACTCGACCTAGTGACGTAGCCAATACAACTTATAGAAAGTTATTATATTTTACATTGAATGCTTTAATCTCTTCGAGAATCTGGCAACCTGTTAGCCTGGTACGACTTAGAATTTAGATAGTCAGGAATAATTATTACTTAAGATACAATCTATGACTTTTAACTCTTTTGCAACAGTAGTTATAGATGGGACTTATTAATTATGCAATTTAATGAATCCTTTATTCGCCCTTCACTGGCTTCAATTTATATAATTTATTGAGATTAATTTATTCTCAACTTCATCAATGTTTTATGGGTATTGTTGAATAATGTTTTTCTTAATTTTGTTTGCAGGTCGAACTTACAACGACTTGAATCAATACCCGGTCTTCCCATGGATTCTCACAAACTACGAGAGCGAGGAGTTAGACCTGAGCCAGCCCTCCAACTACAGGGATCTTTCCAAGGTAATATACCACCTTCTAAACCCCTTGACTTTATGATTGCCTGGTAGAATTCCTGCATGAGATGAGAAAATAAGTCTCTCAACGAAATATTTTCTTCTTAAACCTTGTGAAACTTTTAATAACTACCTCAGAGGCAAGGTTATTGAGAAAATAGTGTATTTAAGATTAATTTTATCATTTAATATGTTTTATTACAGCCCATCGGTGCGTTGAACCCGAGTAGGCGTGCGTACTTCGAGGAGCGGTACAACACGTGGGAGCATGAGTCCACGCCGCCCTTCCACTATGGCACGCACTATTCTACTGCAGCGTTTGTTCTAAACTGGCTAGTTCGCATTGTGAGTATAATATCGAATAACCATTATCAAAATGAAGAGCTCACTTACACGAACGAACTAACCTTATTTTCATGGTCTAAGTATGAAGCACGTATAGAGAAAATCGTCGGTGGCCCGGTGGATTAGAAAACTATCACAAATCTAATAAATATTATTTCTATTTTATATTTAATTAACTATAAATTTAATAAACATCTTAAATGATGTGTACTGAAACCGAACAGTCTGATGTGGCAACACATTTACTTGCTGAAATTAAATACTAATTAAGTGTTGCCAGTAACAGCGCGTGTATGATTTATCACAAACGAATGGTTCATCAATTTGAATGCTTCACACTACATTTGGCGACAGAATTAAATGTCACGCGTACGAGAATAATAATTATACAGACTCAGCACTTGTAATAATTCCATTTTGTATAATTGAAAAATGATTTTATTACCATGAGCTTATTAGCCACCTGTTTAACTGGAAACTACCTAAATACCTAATTATTATTTTTGTATAATTGTAGCTAATAACAACGACATGTAAAAGAAGCAGCAGGTTGTCTTTTATTTGTATTAAAAATAGATTGTATATTAAGCAAAGATTGTATAAATAGATATTTATTCAGTCCTTACCTTACTCAATAAATTCTAATGATTAGCGTAGTCAGTAAGTATATCTGCAGACCTCGTAGCATTCTATGGGAGAAACCATAACCATTAGTTAGCCGTACTGAACAATTAAACAGCAATCTGAGATTAAGACAGGAATGAACAATGTAATTGATTTATCTTGTACAGTTCATGGTCTATTTAACATGGCTGTAACTGATTAATTAACCAGTTATTTATTGTACGGTATTGTTTGTCTGCTCGTAACTCATAGTATTGTAATGAGGTGCATAGTGTCTTATCTTGTTCATTACTGTCACTGCGATACAACTACTGAAACTTGACAAAATGTTAGGTATTTATGTTTCTTTCTACACCATCCAGTCCACTCTATTTATCTGAAACGATCTGAATTTACAACTTGACAACTAGTTATTTCAAGTTGCACTCTCGAAGTGTGTAAGTCTTTGAACAATAGTCCTGTGGTACTATAAACGAAGTCTTCAAAGAGAATCATTTTGCTAGCGATCATAGTAAATTAGTGAATGCATTAAGATGTCTGCACTAAATGTGCGCATGTCACAACAATCGTGCGCCGCCGGCGACGAGACGCGACAGATGCACGTGCCACTGCATGCGGCAAAAAAGTTAAAAATGTTAAAAGGTGCCCGAAATAGAATTTGGTTTAGTTAATAACAAAACTATAATGGACGTTGTTACTTGATATTTGGACGACAATAAAATTAATGTTTAATATGTTTACACTATTATCTTTGTCTTTATGAACAATAGATGCTGTGATTGCATTACAAATACAAAATGATTGTTTTGTCCCTACCAGGAGCCGATGACGACCATGTTCCTTGCGCTTCAAGGTGGCAAGTTCGACCACCCCAACAGATTGTTCTCATCCATTGCTATGTCATGGAAGAATTGCCAACGAGACACCTCTGATGTAAAGGTATGAGTGTGACCATTTGTTTCTTTTATGCTCTAAAAACCATGATGTCGCTCGAATATTATGATCACAATGGAATTTTCCATAGGAACTGATACCTGAGCTGTTTTTCCTGCCGGAAATGCTTGTGAACAGTTCAGGCTTCAGACTGGGCATCCCAGAATCTCCCTCGGGAGACGTAATCCTTCCACCTTGGGCGTCTTCCGCTGAAGAGTTCGTGCGCATCAACCGAATGGCGCTGGAATCTGAATTTGTCAGCTGTCAGCTACACCAATGGATAGATTTAATATTTGGATACAAGCAACGAGGTAAGTTGTTCGACGACATTTTTGAAGTGTTATAAATAGTGCTGTAAATATATTGCAGCAATAAATTGACTTCTAACTTAATTATGATTCTCATCACATTCTCACCAGGTCCCGAAGCGGTCCGTGCGACGAATGTATTCTACTACTTGACATACGAAGGTGGGGTCCGACTCGACCAGATTACAGAGCCCGTAACCCGAGCAGCTATTGAAGATCAGATCCGAAGTTTCGGTCAGACTCCTGCGCAGCTACTGAGCGAACCTCACCCTCCTCGCGCGTCCACGATGCACCTCGCCCCACTGATGTTTGCTGCGGCCCCCGATGACGTGTGCTTGAGACTGAAACTACCCTCCAACGCGGCTGTAGTCCACGTGTCTGCGAATACTTACCCGCAATTGACAATGCCTGCTGTTGTTACGGTATGTTTTCTTGTGTGCCTATATTTTATTTGATTGATTTAAACTGTCAAACACCAAGCGGTCACCGGTGACCGCAACCTATTGTTCTATAATTGTGTCTACAAAACCGGTACTCGATGAGTTAATATAGTTTATTTAGTTGTGTTGTGATGGAGTACCGAGTATGTAACCGAGTGTCCGTGCAGGTGAGCGCGGCGCGCGCGTTCGCGGCGCACCGCTGGGCGGGCGGCGGCTGTGCGCACGCGCCGCACGGGCCGCACGCGCCGCGCCACCAGCCCGACCACCACCCGCACCATCCACTGCTCATGGACCCGGTCTGGGGTAACTACATCTGTCTGCGTTTATTTTTACTTTTTCCATAGTAACTTAGGATCGGCATAAAGTTTTAAACACGTTTGGTTGCCGTTATTTTACAAGGATCTACTGTACTACTCTCTGAGTAATGATACCATAATTTTGGTGAAATATTTAGTTCAGTTTTTGACGCTTCGACAAAAAATCCTAATGATGTATGTTATATTCCAGCGGCGGGCGGTGCCCAGGCCCTGGCGAGGCGTCAGTTGGGCGACAACTTCTCCCAGCGAGTGCGCGCGCGCAGCAACTGTTTCGTCACCACCGTGGACTCACGGTTCCTCATCGCGGCCGGATTCTGGGACAATAGTTTCCGAGTTTTCAGCACAGAAACCGGTAAGATAACGCACTTGTAAACAAAATACTATTTTAATTATTTTCTACTTATACTCGACCAATTTCGAGCCATTCTTAGTTACTTGATTTTTGTTCCCTTTTTTACACGCATATTGTTGATTTTTCAGCTAAAATAGTACAAATAATCTTCGGCCACTACGGCGTAGTGACGTGCGTGTGTCGCTCGGAGTGCAATATCACCTCCGACTGCTACATTGCGTCGGGATCCGAGGACTGCACCGTATTGCTCTGGCATTGGTAAGGAATAAACAACATTATTTTTCTTGGATTTTTACTGTCATGTTTTCAACTTAATAGTGTTGTAATAAAGACGAAATCCCATTGTAAGCCTAAAACTGAGTTATACTGATGTACCAGTGTGACGATGATATAATTATAGTAGCGGATATACTTCAGTAAATATGATTGTTTTCCCATAGGTCTGCTCGTCATGGTGGTATTGTCGGCGAAGGTGAGACTCCCGCGCCCCGAGTCACGCTCACGGGACATGACGCGCCCATCAACGGAGTACTTGTATCTGCTGAACTAGGCTTAGTCATATCTTCGTCAGTCAGTAAGTATATTAACAAATAATCTAACAAAAATCTAACTATAAGATGTTCTGATGCTCAAGTAGAGATAGAACAATCTGAAAAATGTATGTTTATGAAAATAAAGGAGATATATTATATCCACCTCATTAAGAGGTCTTTAAAAATGGTTAGGTGCACTGTACACTTACTGAACCGGTGTACTAAGTATTATGTGATGATAAAGCAAGTCATTTGAATACGATAGAATCGGTTTTCAGATTCGGTACTTTTCTTAGTCAAAAATAAATTATCTCGACTGTCCAATACAGTAAAATATTTTAAAAAAATCACACTTTCATTAATTGATTTTATGAACAACTTCATTTTAGTATATTTCCAGCAAATTTTTAAGCTGTTTGACGCTAAAATACTCAACGTACAAAACTCTTAGAAAACTGTCGTTTTTGACAGTTCGAAAAAGGTATTGAATATGACTAGTTGGCAAGTACTCGATTATTAAGTTGATAACCCGCGTGTCCCCCAGACGGGCCGGTACTGATCCACACGACGTTCGGCGAGGTGCTGCGCGCGCTGGCCGCGCCCGACGGCGTCTGCGCCCCGCAGCAACTGGCGCTCAGTCGCGAGGGGGTCGTCGTCGTCGCATACGGACGGGGGCACCTCGCCGCATACACGCTCAACGGACGCAGGCTGCGGCACGAGACGCATAACGACAACTTCCAGGTACGCACTGACATCAAACATAACATCATGTCTTTAGTAGTAGTGTCTTGGAGTAAACAGACGTGCACATCACGGCACTTAATGCCACTGTAAAATGTAACACCCACTTTTCACTATTTATGTTATGAGTTATTAAAATGTATTAACTGTGGAGTGCCACAGGGTCTTTCGTTTGGTCCAATGTGTGTGTATGATGATACGACGGTACGTGTGTCGCGCAGTGCCTGGTGCTGTCCCGATGCGGCGAGTACCTGGTGTGCGGCGGGGACGCGGGCGTGGTGGAGGTGTGGCGCGCCTTCACGCTGGCGCCGCTGTACGCCTTCCCGCCCGCCGGCGCGCCCGTCTGCTCGCTCGCTCTCTCGCACGACCAGAAGTAAGTATTCATTATTATCTACAACTAATACAAGCATCAAGCTTCCTTGTGCTGCTAAGGAGTGGAATTCTTTGCCAGATTTTGTATTTCCTGAAGGGTATAAACCTGGGTGTCTTCAAGGCCCGAGAATAGGTTGCCACTTCTCAACTTTGATTCGTTTAATTTAAGTATTGTTTCATTATACGACAAAATAACAAAATACGTGTCTAATATTTTTTCATTACCTAACTTACAGACTAATTAGATTTTTAATTTTTATACTCTGTCCTCATCCCAATTGTGTAAAATGTCATCGTAAAATGTTTTAAATAATTTATTTTCCAACTAAACATGTACCATTAATTTGCCAGTTACACTAATAAATCCGATTTGAGACATTCATTCATGTAATAATTTTTACGTGCACCTTTTTTCAGGTTCCTGTTAGCTGGTCTCGAGAACGGTTCCCTGGTTGTATTCCACATAGACTTCAACAGATGGCACCACGAGTACCAACAGCGATACTGAGCCTGGCGGTACCTTAGTTATTATTAATAAACGTAAATCAATTACTTGCCGGACACACTGGCAACACCCGGTCATATTGTCAATTACCGCGGCAGGTGTTGCCAGTCTGTCGTTGGGTTTACCATTCGTATTTAAGTGACGGCGATATATTACGTTGAGAGTACAGTTCTATAGAAAGACGTAACGGCTGCTAGTACTATTAACGCACGTTCACTGTTCTTTACAATTTACGCGATAAAACAACAGATATTACGGTATCTGAAATGTTATACTTAAAACTATGTACATCCATTGCCGTACTTATTAATTAGTAATTAACAATGTAAATTAATGAACTGTAAAGGATAGTGAATTTAATTATTAAGTGTGGTAATTTAAATTGATTCGCAGCTAATAGCAGCTAGAGTTTAAAGTACCGCACCGGTCAACATTTTAAATAATTAAATTATTGTTCGGTTGTATTTCGACACACTAATGCTATATTGGATAATACAACTGGCGAGTAAGTACTTAATTAATTATAAATACATTGACATTCCATTGATTTTTATTATGATTGATTTAGTAACAATTAATTATACTAATAAACTTACTTAAATTAATGTGACGACTTCATAACATTCCATGAAATTTATACAATTTACCAAATTACTTATTGTAATAAGATCTTTTTTGTTAAGATTTGTTTCTAAGGTGAAATATTAATGTAGTTGTAACTTATTATACTTTATTGGTACTGAATCAATTGTTATTTATTTAAGTAAATGAAGTCGTAGCATTGTATAACAAGATGGATGGATGTATCAGTGAGTGACACAATCTGCCACACTTTGGGCTTATAGTATCTGTACCATTAGTGTTGCCAACCTAGAAATTTAAAATACTACTAAAGTAGTTTTACTTTGACAATGTAGCAGAGTGTTGTTGACTCGAGATTTGAAGGAATACGAATATTCAATTCATAAAAATAGAATCTTTCCATTGCTGTGATCGTATTTTTTCAAACCAGATCCACCTATAGTATTCTATGTATTATAAAAAGATTATTTAATCGTATGAAAGAATTAGTTTACAGTAAATTATTTATGTAGTGCCATAGGGTTTTATTAATTTAACGCAATATTATATTATGTTTATAATTTTATTTACACAATATACCAAGATCTCTTGTTCAAGACGTCCATTTTATTATTTTCAATGTTTTATGTAAATTGAGATTATATTTAATTGATTTATTTATTAACTTCAATTGTGCAATATTTACTTATCATGAATCACTAGCTACGTATGAAATTATTTATATATTTTGGATTCATTTTTAAATTATACTGTACGCTTTCTTCAGTCATTCCAGTATTTAAAATAATTTGGCACATTCCTATATTTCAATCTTGTGCTATTTTAATGGTGGTGGGTAAACAAGTACTTAATTTTGAATATTATAAATAAATAATTGACGTTGTTGTAATTAATTTTTGGTTTTTATTAAATGGTTATAGCGAATTGTTTTGTTTCTTTTATTTTTCCTTATACCGTTTTATTGCTATGATTTTAGTAGTTTGAAGTATTTTACTTTAGTTTTATATTGTAAACGTTATGTATCACAACGTGGGCCACTTCGTGTGCAGCTGTAAATAGTGGTAGTTATCAATAAAGCATTATTGTACTCGAGGAGGTCTGAAAACAGTGCGAAAGTGCCAATACTGTCGTCATTTTCGCTAATTAAACTATGTCAATATAAAGTTAGGACGAGTTTAGACTATGTAAATGTTATGTAATGCTAAATAAAGTTGTGTTACGGCTGAGTGACGTCACAAACACGTTACAAAAGACATAGTTTTTTACGCATACGTCGTGTAATATTGTATCTAATATACAATCAATTATAAACTATATTTTTGCATCACTACGCCAGCACCGCTCCTTCCGTTCTGTGATTTAGGCTTAAATGCACCTAGACATACGAAAGTTTATATTCTTCTCGTCTTTTCCTATCTCTGTGCCAAAACTAAGATTAACGAAATGAGAGACAGATCAGTGATTATACTATACGAAATTAAGTACTAATAGTTCATTCATAACTTGCTTCAATATAAACCATACTCCCTCCTTCCCAGCAAGGTTCACCCCATAGATCGGTAACTACTTGTAATTAATGATACTTATTAAATCAGAACTTCATGGTAAAGAGCGTTCTTCTAGTCTTAGATAAAAATGTTTTTCTATAAATCTATAGTCGAATTATTCACGTAGTTATTAGATAATTGTACAAATGACTCTTGAACCCTTGAACTCACGTCCCTCTGTAGTTGTAGTGTACCCAGTTACACGTAGATTGTACCTTCTATTCATTATATTATAGTTCCCTAGCTATCTATGCTTATTGTAGACTATTATTTGTTATAGATGCAATTTAGACTATCGATTTAGTTCGAGAGCTTTCGTCTTTCCATCACCCACGGTCGATCGATTCTGTTAATGTACAATCGACCATAAAATTGCTTTGCTACCACTAGTACAAACTAAAACATAAAATATTTAGTAGACACATATATATTTAGATCAATTGATCAGTTGTCATCGTCCGAACTGTCATTTAAGCGTACCTAAGTAAAATGTATTAAAAAAACTGTGTGAAACTGGTGATTGTGGTAAAGCATTGTTATGGTCTGGTATACTCGATATATTGTAAGCCTACGGTTAAAAATCGTAAGTGAACGGTAATGGAAACACTTTTTAAACTACTTGTACAGGTATAAAAATCTACTAAAAATCCGGTGTGACCAACTTAAAAGCTCTAAATGTTACTATCTTGACATCCTCGACTATCCTATCACCTCTATCCTTCACTGTGTAAACACGTCACACTATAAAAATTTTGGTTTTATCAAAGACACGCTACACGCAATTCTGTCCATTATTAATAAGTAGTCTTAGGTAGTGAATGTTAAAATAAAATAATATTTTAATTTGTAAGCTAAGTACACCTTGTATGATAATTATCACTGTCCATTTAATGTAAGCTACTTCATATTTACGAGTAAGCATGGTAATTGTAAAAGACGCTAAGATGTTAAGATTCCAATAAACCCATAATTTTTATAGCATCTGCAAGTTTTCAAAATGCCTAAACAGGTGTTCACTTACTAATCCCGCTTTACGCGAGTTTTAAAACAGTAAAAAAATATGTAGAAATCTTCCCGCCAGCCAGATAGAATTATTTTAGAAATTGGCAAGCTTTAAAAATTAAAATAACCATGGCTTGTATTTCAAAAATATAACACGAGTACCTACCGCACGCGTGATTTACCAACCTACTGCCTTCGCTCTTTAAAATGAATCGCCTAAGTCATAAACTCAATATACCTTAAAATTAAAAGTTGTTGAAACGATAGGTTATTGAATAGTCTTTTAGTACTTACTTGTAGTAATTGTAGTTTCGCAGTAGGCTTAGTTTGGTGACAGCATTTTTATTGTTATATGTCGAAAAATAGATGAACTTTATTGTTTTGTAAGTAAATCAAGTGCTACTGACCAGTTTCCAGCTTTAGCTTGCTTCAAGTTTCTCCCTAATAGTCCAGTAGCCTTTGAAATTTTCGGTAAAAATAAGTTGTAGGAAATTTTGTTTTAGCGCATCGGATTAAATGGTGCAATTTGTTGACGAAATGTATTAAATCCAATTATTTATAATGTTGTTATCAACGTAATAAATACACATTTGTTTGTTTTAAATGAAACAATTTACAGTTCTTAGATACTTTTCAAATTTTATTTTAAAATTTCCCGCCCTATGCCAGTGGCCACAGATAGTAAATATAACATAGGTTATAGATTCGTTATACATGTTTAAAATTGTTATTATAATTACTTCTTAATGTTTCACGATCCATAAAATTATTGTATAATTACAAAAATAAATGCACATGCTTTTTTCTAATATCCACTGACTAAAATGATTGAATGTTTAACTGTTGTTTATAATATTTAAGTACTTATAAATTTGTTGTGCAGGATTATTGATTTGCATGACAATGTGTTCTTTCAATACTTTACACATTAGGGCAATAAAGCCTTGAAATAAATTATTGTTATGCTAAGTATATGGTGCGTTTGTATGTAATGAAATGATCTTGAGTAATGAATAAATTGCATTGAATAAATGGCTTGTTATTTATCAAGTTATTTCCTGTCCTAAATTAAAATGTGGAGAACCCACACCGCTGCATACAAGGAGTGAATGCAATATTCAATTTGAAGATGTGCTAGATTTCGCCCTACAATATAAATAGAACTTCCTAATAACCAAATTAATCTATTTATAATTAATATCGCGTGTACTAATGAATTAATCAATTTGAAATAATGAAATTAAATAATATTTTACTTGTAAGTTTTCTGCACAGTTATAAATGCAACCTCTTCCAGTAGCCAGGTAGCCAGCATCTTAGTAGCTCTAAATTTTGGAAAATATTTAATTCTGGTTCTCGAACTTCGACAATCACAGGTTCCGGTTGACGGGTAGCCGGTGCTGGGTACCCAGAGGTGCAGTGTACCTATACAAATTACACCGGTATGTGTGAATGAGAGCTACAGTACATGGACATGGCCATACATTGAGCTGCCGGGTACCCGACGCCGCTCGCCGCTCATTAACTCGAGAGGTAATTTCCCGCAACGTGTACAAGCATCTTGTTACCAATCTGTTGAAAAATTTTATTATCAAAGTGCCGAGTAAAAAGCCTAGGTGCCGGGTTCAATACACGAGCCGAGCAAAAGTAAACGAAAATTGAATAAATCTTTAATTCAATTTTCAGAGAAAATGTCAAACAAATTAAATATTAGATCAGATATATTATCCTTGGTTTAATTATTGGAAGTATGGCTAGGTAAACCTCTGTAGAAAATAAAATAAAAATTTTGTGACAGCGAATTTTATAAAGACATTCACTTCACTGATGGTACTAAGAAATTGTTATCTGCACAAAATATTTCTTTTTTATTTTGTTTCAATTATTTCTTGTGTTAATATTTTTTAATAAAAAAAAAATATTACCATAATCTTGTCAACTTGACTCTATCGTTTTTAAGTTTCCGAACGCAGCTCGAAGCTGACATTGACGTTTGTATAATCAGTTTCCGGCCTTTTCCTTCGCTCCCGTTGCAATCATGGCGGTGAACAACATTTCCAAAAAGCGAAAAGTATGTTGAAACCAGTGTTTATTGTACTAAAATATATATTTTAAATGGTTTAATGATAGTTGTCCATTCTGTAAAACTAAAATTCGAGTTGTTGATTATTGTGAAACTTGTGATGTTAGTGGATATTCGAAAACTTGTCATCTGCACTGGGATTGTTATGTTTCTCTTGTGTCTTGTTTCTTTGTAATTTTATACATCAACAGTGTTTAATATTAATGTGGTAATTAGATTACCAGTGCAAGTAAGGTGATTTCATCAGAAAATGCGATGACCAAAACATAACCTCTCGGTGAATTTGCAGTTCGTCGGAGACGGAGTTTTCAAGGCGGAACTCAACGAGTTCTTGACCAGGGAGCTTGCTGAGGATGGCTACTCTGGTGTGGAGGTGCGTGTCACCCCGACTCGCTCGGAGATCATCATTATGGCTACGAGGACACAGAGCGTGCTCGGAGAGAAGGGCCGCAGAATCCGTGAGCTGACTTCCGTCGTTCAGAAGAGGTTCAACATCCCCGAGCAGTCTGTGGAGCTCTACGCCGAGAAGGTGGCTACTCGTGGTCTGTGCGCCATCGCCCAGGCCGAGTCTCTCAGATACAAACTCATTGGAGGTTAGTCCCCTTTGTTTTCTCTCATGTTTTGGCTCATTTCACCTTTCCTAGAGCATGACTAGCTTCCTAATCGGTATTAATACCGTAAAAACCTGCTTCTAGGCGATATTGTATGCAGTCTCTTAAAAATAACATATTGTTGCATGGTGATTACTGACTCCAAGACTCACTGGGTAGTGTTCCTAAAACTACATGGATCTAAGTGATGTAAGCTCCATGTGCTTATTTTGCCTAAACATAGATTTTGTCTATATTTATTTAGAAAGCACTACTTGAAACCAAATGTCATAATTTGTAAATACAATAGTCTGCTAGGGCCATAATCAACAGTAGTTTCGACACTAACAACTGGGAAAATATTTTGTACTAAAATTGTTTTGTTGAAATAGTTTTTACTCGGAGATAGAAATTAATCTGCAGCATGTGGTATGCAACACCACTCTCCCACTTTCAAATAAATGCTTATGCAGTAGAGATGCTACACTTCACGCAACAAACCACACTCGACATATGTTTCACTCCTCTACAGAGCATTCTAAGAAGTTGTGGACTCTGCGGCACACACGGGTCAGATTCCAGCTGCTAACTACTTAATAATTTCCCTGTTGTTAGTGTAGCATGGATTTCTGAAAAGTAACACCTGATTCTATTCCATATACATATCAATTTATTCAAATTTCTACTTTGCACATACAATCAATACTGGCCCTTAGATATTGATAAATTTAGATTTAGTCATCATTCGTCTTGCATTTGGGCTGAAGAAGTGAATTCATCTACTTGTTTAGATGTTTAAGTAGTTGCTGACTAATATATCATCATAATACAACTTCATCAACTAACCGCATGCCCCAAACCTGACATCTCTACTCTGCCTGGTCGGGATGTTTTTCATTGGGGACATATTATAACCCTTGTAACATCACAGAATGCTTTAAAAGTTGTGCTTTTCTGTCATAGGCAAGGGAACACTACTAGCATTAAATAGTAGCCATAAATCGCAGTAATTATACCAAGTCACATATCAAAATTAGTAGGAAAGAAATAAAAGTAGTAACAATTTCAAACAATATACCATGTGTCTATGACTGCTTGCTGGCTGGTTTGAGTGATGTTTGAGTTTACCTGTAATTAAATTTCTATGAAGTATACAGAACCTTTTTTAAAACCACATGCACAATGTATTTAGGAAAAATATCCATTTAATTCCTATACCTTGTAATTATATAAAATATCTCTAAAATGATTTGTTTCTAAATTCAACTGTTACTTAGAGATTTTACTAACTTTTATAACAAGTCTACATTATATACCTAGGCATAATGCTAATGTAATTTCCGACATTCACCAGGTCTTGCCGTGCGTCGTGCCTGCTACGGTGTCCTCCGTTTCATCATGGAATCTGGAGCCCGTGGTTGTGAGGTCGTTGTGTCTGGCAAGCTGCGTGGTCAGCGTGCCAAGTCAATGAAGTTCGTGGACGGCCTCATGATCCACTCTGGTGACCCATGCAATGACTACGTGAACACAGCCACACGACATGTGTTGCTTAGGCAAGGAGTACTCGGAATCAAGGTAAATAACAAAACACCTTTTACAAAGACTTAGTAGTATTTCATTAACAAAATTGACTTTAAACAATTATTATTGTATAGTTCAATATTTTCGACTTACAATTCTTACGCCACATTATCAGGGATTTCAAGCTACTCAATAGCTTGATGTCTAATTCTTGTGGCAGATTGTCTCAGCTTGTTTATTGGAGGGCTTGTCTGTACAGGCTCTGGTACGGTGCAAGCTGGACACTTGATTTTATAACTAAAAAAGTACTAGTGAACAATGTGCTACTGATGCCAACCAAGTTGTGTTCTAAAAGTTCCTGTGCAATCAGAAAACTGGAATCTGCATAACATAGTTTACTATATTCATAGACTTAATGAAACATTTTCTTCTTTACAGGTCAAGATCATGTTGCCTTGGGACCAACAGGGCAAGAACGGCCCCAAGAAGCCACAGCCCGACCACATCTTGGTGACAGAGCCCAAGGACGAGCCCGTTCCTTTGGAGCCAACTAGTGACGTGCGTTCCCTTGCGCCCGCGCCGCTACCCCAGCCCGTGGCCGCTGTCGCTTAGATCTTAAGCTAATTAATAAAAAATATTGAAAATCTACTGACTTTGTTTAATTTAATGCGAGATCAAACCTTCATGAAGAGTATCGTCTCATCACTATTTTTTGCTACTTTTTTATTCATACTTGACGTTAGATAAATAAAATTGGAGTGTCTGTTTGTAATATTAAAATAACTGCTTTTTACTATGAATATGATACGCATACCAAAATTACATTTTTTACAATTTTTGATCTGTTTCTACTGTCTAGTCTCTGGAATGACTGGGTCGATTTAGCAAGACTTACATTCACAGGTAGCTGATGTACTAAGGAGTGTAACATAGACCACTTTTATATTGAAAAATTTAAAATAAAAAACTTGTCCTAAAATTCATATTGTACGCGGACGAAGTCGCGGAACAGCTAGTCACGACAAATTCTTCAAGAGCTACACGTAACTTTCACTTTTTACCAGTTGCATAGTTTACAATTTCAGAAATGAAGATATGTGGTGATCATATTTTGCTGTTTTGCCAATAACTAAAAGTAGCCACACCTAACGTGATAATAAATTCCAATAAATAAATATTGACTAATGCCATCTCTTAGACAATAGCTGGGAATTTGATTTAGCTATGAAATTGCCGTTCTGCAGTACTGGCCATTTCAAATTAAAATCATTTTTTGTTTAGCTAAGAATTTTAATTTTAAAAACGGATTTTTCCAAAGTACTCATTTGTTTATGGATTAGTCTTACATTTTCATTGCATTCCAATTTTTTTTATCATCATGGATACGTTAAAAATTAGCGTAATTATAGAAAATGTGTACCGTCGTGGCAGCAATGCGGCACGCAACATAAACGAGACTGGTTCATCATCAACTTATCAGCTACAACTTTAATTTCTGTGATAAGCGAACGGCATTTAGGAGCTTCCAGCGATTTTAATCATAGATTGTCTGTCTAACTTGATGTTGCAATGCTTGCCAGTACCTACGTGGTTTTCATTCGCCCCCATCAACCCTCAAATCTAAGTGCCTTGTACCCTGTTTACGGACATGACACTTAGCTAATCCGCTAGTCTATGTTAGTTGTTGTTATGTTACATTAATTTGCGGGTCTCCTCATTTTTTATTCAATTTCTAGGCCAGTCATCTAAGACATGTTAGGTCGCAAAAATTTTTATGTTCTGATGCTAGAAAAACTGAACTGAATTTCGAGGCTTTTCGAGCACCACGAAGTTCGCAGAGGTCTTTCGAGCTTGCAAATCTAGATTTACACTATTGGTATCTATCCTAACAACATCACAAAAAAATTGCGATTTTTATATCTTAGATGACTGGTGTGTTCACAAAGAAACACCGAATATCGCAGTAGCACGCTCAGTGATTTTGGGCTTTCTTTGAAAGCTATAGTAAGGGCACATTTCTGTTCCGTAAGTCGTCTCTGGTAACCCACTGTATGTTCACTTTCGTTTTTAAGATACAAGACATGTGGGACGAGAAGATTCCCGAACGTTGGACGTTCACGTTGGATTCGACTATTGACTCCCTTCCCCCACGCGCAACATTCGACATAGGTAACCTTCGTCTTTTCCATATTCATTTGGAGTCCTGGCTGTTGGGAAGCTATACAGAGAACATCGAGAATTGTGCCTCGTTCTTCCAGTGATTTTGTCATGACAATAATGTCGTCGGCAGACTGAAAGTGGGTGGTGTACTCGCAGTTGAAATTTTACTATAATCAACGAGCTTAAAGGTATCTTTCAATCCTAATTAAACAGCTTCGGGGTCATATCCCCGTTGTAATTGTATTACTGCAAATTACTGATTTACTGCACCGATATTGACATCGGTACATTCACATTATATGGCACCGCCCGAAGTGATCTCAACAAGAGCTTTGCTTCATTAAGACATCATGGTGGCGTCTACGTATCTAAGCAGTTAATATTGTAATGTAAGTATGATACCTAATTTACTTGGAGACGCTTTGGCCGTGCTGCTATGGCTTTTTAATGAGGCAAAACTCTTAAGTTTCGATCACATCAAAGGCCGTCAAATAGTCTACAGACACTAAGCATAGTGTCAAAGTAATTATAGTCCTCGGTCTCCTGTATAGTTATAAAGTGACAACTTTGTTACAGCGTATAGATGTGATTTTTGGTGTCTTTTCGTAAACCAGCTTCTTTTTTTAAGAGGCTTAACATACGAGCAGGACGATTCATGATGACACTCGGGAACAGCTAGTAGACATGGCTCAGAATTAAGATAAGTCTATTCTTTAACTGTATTTACTTTTTCCTTATCTACTTACAGACACGGTGCTTGCTTGTATAAAAAAAAATAACCAGTCTCAGACCGCGCGCATAGTTTGCCAGTTGCATACATAGGTTGACGCCATGGCTGGCACCGTGGCTGGGCAACTGGCTGCTGCCAAATTTGTCGTGGGTTCGATTCCCGCACGGAATTTCTTTGTGTGATCCACGCATTGTGGTTCTGGGTCTGGATGCGAAGTATTGTAAACGCACCCACGATACTGGAGGAAGTCCTAGTGCGGAGCAAGGTTTTATTAATATATTTTTTTAACAAAATTATAAATTAATTTTGACTTGCCCCACCCTGAGCCCATGACTGGCTACGTTCGTGGCTCAATGTTTGGCATGGTTTCATTTGAATTTTCAACATCGTAGTTAGTTGTCAATAGGTTAGAGGCGGCAGTGAATTAGTGCACGAGCCATTTTTTGCTTCCGCTGGCAGAAACAAATCTATATAATTATATGAAAATGGAACCCGTTTCCAGTTGTCACGCCATAATTTGAGAACGGATAGACCGATTTGGCTGATCTTTTTTTATTGTTTGTTATTGTCAGGAGAAAGTTCTAACGACAGAAAAATCCTGAAAATCCTACGGGAACGAGCGCAAACCGGAATGCGCGTACGAAGTCGCGGGCAGAAGCTAGTAGATGTATAAAAGGCAAACAAATGAAAACAACAAAATAGTTTATACCAACATTTATTTAAAAACCTGACTACATTCACCCCAAACCAAGTGCATAATAATTATTTACTAAATACAAAAATGTCGCTGGCAGTACACAACATAACCAAAATAATAAGTAATACACGATTCACAAAATAATATCGTAATTTTAAATGTATGTATTCATATTTATTACCATTTACAATTCCAAAGAGATATGTGCTTGTTTGAATGTCTGTACACTTTAAATTTCACGAGAAAAATTAAACTATGATAGGACAAAACGGAATGAACATTCAGAACTGCTACAAAGACAGATAGTCCCATGTAAAAAGATAGAATCGAAATGTGACATTCCCTCTACATTTCGACTGACGACAACAATACTGACATACAATTCCTTTCTTTAATAAAAAATCTACATTGAATAAAATCACTTAGCAGTCTAACTTAAACATTCAACATTCCTTTATGCCTTAAATAAAATTGGACCAACATTAAATAGAAATTAAACTTAAATACATAAAGTATATCCCCTAAGTTATAAAATAATTATACTGATTTGTTAACAACCAAAAATTATGCTATGAAATGCATTTACATACATTGTACGGGCGGATTATTCAAGCGCTGGTAGATTACGTCGTCCCTTTTAACATTCAGCTGCGGTATAGCGTTATCTCGCTCTTACATGTGGGGTTGCCATTGCTAAATAACATAAGGGTAATAAAATAAAATGAGGTTTTTGTACTGCAATGGTTTGGATACTTTGTTCTTATATTAAGTTTAGTCCAGTGGACGGTGTTGGTTCGCCTTCAAATGGATGTTGACCTTGACAGAATTATTGGACAAACATTGAATTAAAAATAAACTGTTAATTTGTTGGTCAGTTTTAAATTCGTTTAAAAAACACTTTACAAAGTGGGCGTTATTTAGTAAAATTGCTGTGAACTGACCAATGAATACATTACTGTTGGAGTAACCCTTACTGGTCCTTATTCGTATTTTTATTAAAATAATTCGCAACTGAAGTAGTTGACCATAGATCATAGAGTACAGGGCACACATCCAGACGTCAGACTCCGCGCATGCGTAGTTTGGATGCAAAAGAACGATAGTGATGTAGAAAGTTCTTCACCTCAACTGACCTTACGACCGACATGTTTACCTGAAATTATAATACAATCGTTTTAATACGATATTGTCAACAAAACAAGTTGTTAAGTATTTCAAAATTTGAAGGTTACAACTGCAAACTGCAAGTTAAAAAATGTTTTATACACTCTTTATATTTTGTAAAACAATATAAAATCAATTTGCTGCTTGAAGTAAAGTATGTCATATTGTCATTACCAACCAGCACATTCACTTCGACAAGACCTTATAATAACGTTTACAGTCGTCAAAATGGTGTTTAAATTGTCAATAAGCTGTCGTTTGTCTCCTCAAGCATAGTAAGTTTCCTATGTAACGCATTGAGAATGCGGTACAACAGTAAATAATTATACCTCTACCCCCTCTACCCCCTTAAAATGTTCAACAGTAAATACTGTCTATGGTATGTAGTTGTGTTTGTCAGATAACTATACCCCCTTAATACATAGAGAGTATACTGACTGCTGGACGTGCTCCATGGGCGGCGCCATGCGACAGACGAGCTGCACGGCGGAGTGGATGCCGCCCTTGAGCGCGGCGGGCAGCGCGGGCCGGTCGGCGGCGCGCTCGGCCGCCACGCGCAGCTCGCGGAACGTGTTGCGCGTGTACGGGTTCCGCCGGCTCGCGTACCGCCACGTCACGAAGTAGTAGTACACGAACGGAGTCAGGAGACCGCAGTAGCCGCTGGAATCAATATTATATTCATCAAACGGTGGAAGTGTGGGAGAGCCATGCTTCCGCACGAATGGGCCGGCTTGATCGGAGTGATACCACGGCCTCACAGAAAACCGACGTGAAACAACGCTTGCGTTGTGTTTCGTCGTGTGAGTGAGGTTACCGGAGGCCCAATTACCCTCCCCTTCCCCAATCTCCCCAATTCCTGAATCCCCAACGATCCTCAAACTCCTAATCCCCAAAAGGTCGGTAACGCACTTGTAACGCTTCTGGTGTTCCAGGTATCCATGGGCGACGCCAATTGCTTACCATCAGGTGATCCGTCTGCTCGTTTATCGGCTTATGCCATAAAAAAATATAAATTAAACACAACATAATATAATTATGTATACAGTATGAAGGACGAAAGTCTATACAACTATGTTTCAATATTATGGTCAAAATTAATTGACAATAGACTTTTGTAATATTACAAATTCACTACAAGTTATAAGATAATAATAATACTTTGAGAAATTATGAGGAATTTATTTTGCTTTGATTGTAATGAATCAGATACAATTTGTTATTTTAAAACAACACATACTCAATTGGCCTTTTATAACTTCATATTATGTATGAAGCCAACAATGTCACCTTTATAAGAGTGTTTTTATATCAAGTACTGTTATATTTTATACTGGTAATTAAGTTATGCACTCATAGTCACAATAATGAGTAATTAAATGGCGAGTCATAACAGTAAAAGCACCCACATTTATAACTATTCAGACAATGAGCAATTAGAAGATTTTCCATTAGGTTGTGACATGACTGTTAAGGTCATGATCACTTTAAAAGACATGATAGGTAGATGCATGGCAAATAAGAAAAAATCCAGATAGACAAGCTATATAATAACGTAATCTTGTCAATATAAACTAAGACAATTAAAAAAATTACTGTAAAACTCTCCTTTAAAACTCAAGACAAATTATTTAGAATACACTATTATCTCAGACTTATTACAATGCCGGCGAGAAAATAAAGATTCACCCAGTACAAAGACAGTAGAATTTTTTATACTAAATTATATGCTTTTTATAAAAGACTAATCTGTAACCATTAATCTGTTCAGTAGTCAACCACCTTCGTTACTTTTTTACAGCATAAGCCGGTAAGCGAGCAAACGGATCACGTGATGGTTAGCAATCGGCGCCGCCCATTGAGACCCGAAACACCAAGGCGTTACAAGTGCGTTACCAGCCTTTTGGGAATTGGGAATTTGAGGATTGTGGAGGATACGGGGTTTCGGGAGACTAGGGAGGGGGTAAATGTACTGGAACATTCTTTATAATTCTTACTTGCTTACTACATAACTTGACTGAGTCTAGTTAAAAACTTGATATTATACTTACAAGAGCGCCATGAAGGCGACAAGCGGGAACAGCACGATCTCAGCGAGGGCGGCGGCGCGCAGGATGTTACGCGACTGGAACTCCACCAGGGAGATCAGCAGGCGAGCCACCCACATCGAGTTCTGGCCCAGGGTCTGGAAGAAACATATATTTATTAAATACTTATTCTTGATAGTGTTACTAATAAACTACATAAAATAACATCATGCATTTCATCCCCAGGGTAGGCAGAGGTAAACATTACGGCATTTAATTAATGCCACTGTATAATGTAACACCCACTTTTCACTATATATGTTATGAGTCCCATGTAACAGGGGGTGAGCCTATGGCTATATATCGGGTACAATTCCAAACTCCGTGCTACAGTAGTACATTGCTCGACACGGGAATCGAACCCAAGACCCCTTGCCCGGCAGTCGCACTTGCGACCACTCGGCCAATGAGGCAGTCTACTACTAATAAACTAATTATCCCTATTACAAAACCATAATAAATTGTATCTTACTCAGGGCACTTACATACGATTCGTAAAAACCGTATAGTATTCCATTTGGTAGTTTTTAAAATTATTGCATTCATAAAGGCAGACAGACGCGACAGGGGGACTTGATTTTATAATAGGATATGAGATAACAACCAGTTTATAATTGAATATGTAATACTATGAAAGACTAGATAGAGATACACATTGCACATATTAATCTACATTAGGCCTCGGTAGGTATTACAGAGGAACCATCATACACCAAGTACATATCTAGCGTAGAATCTAGAATTTGTAAGTTGAGCTAGCAAGGCCAAGGAGACAGTCTAATCAATACGATATTTACATTATAGAGGTACATAAATATTTCATTTCAATTCAATATCTTCTGTTGCGTAATCCTTTTTAATCCTTGATAAAATACTGTAAAAGTCGAAGGAAAGGTAAATAATAAATATCTAGGCAACAGTTGACTACTTGATAAATCATAAATTAATAAATTCAGTAGTACCAATGTCACCAACAAAGTTTTTTTGCAAAACTTGAATATAGTATATCATGTGTAGTTTTTTGTGATAAACAAAATCATTGAACGAAGTATTAATGATTACATTACATTTATGATGTAACTTCCTACATAAACAAATTAAGAAAACACATAATTATATTACTACACACACTTCTAGCTATGGTATACATAGGTTAACCACTGAATACGACCATTTTTTTTCAAAAATAGTAGGAATCCCTATGGGAAACAAGCGTGATGTTATATATGTATGTATAAATAACTTAATCACTAAAGGATCATAGTAAAATAGAGATCACCTTGCTCTAATGTCACATCGCCCAACATAATGAGCGCAGCAATTTAGTAGCATAATGTAACAAACAGACCGAACACTGACATGAAATCAATGTTATAAAAAACTATGATAATACATAAATACAACTGTAAAAACATACCAAAGAAAGTGTAACTGTTGCAACTTTCAAGTGAACTACTTTCTACAGTTTTTTAACAAGATTTTCACAGAATAAATTTCGCAATGTTAAATGTACAAGTCATCATGATTGTGGAAAAGAGTTTGTAAAGAAAACATTACGCTTTAATCTGCTGAAGGTGTGAGCAGACGTGATATCATAGGAAAGTCTTTATACCTTGCATATTGAATCTACTGTTCGTCGATGTTTTAAATCTATTTCTCTCAAAAAAACCTTTCGAGAACTGGAATCTATACAGGGTTCAGAACCAGTATTGTATTTTATTGTATTGTTATACAAGTCCACATCTACCTAGGAGATCCACAAAACCTCTAGGATTACATCGATTTACTTATAAAATGATGTAGTAAACCTCTATGGTCTATAAAAAAGAGAACTGTCACATTACAGGTACAGAGATATTATAGGCATTAATATAAATATATTTATGATAAACAACGTACAACACCTCAACAGTATTAATTAATTCTTAGTTCATAAAGCTATTTAATCTATGTATTTATATAATTGGACGTGAACTTTGTACCGTTGCCTTGGGCCTTGGTTTTCTCATACCGTAATAATTATATTTCTGACGTTTTGCTTAACTACTGCAGTTTAGAATAAGTCAAGACAAATGATATAACGGGACAGGCTTCGTTTACATGCAAATATTGAAAAATGGGGACTTTTTGTCTTTTCTGTATCTATGCTCAGATAATACGACACGCAATTTTGAATTGAATTTTCATCATGTATCGATACAGCTTGATCTAGGTATCAAAAAGATAATCAACATAGATGGTAACACATTTTTTTCGCATTTCGACTACATTTAGACATTATTAATTTATACTTATACGCACTGTAATAAGCGGCTTTAACTGTGTCTCGTCAAGACCACTTGAATGTAACACTGACAAATCATACATACATGTTGACAATTTATCATAATTACTACGTCCATACAGATTTCGCATTCTACACTGTATAGTGCTGACACAAAGGTCAACAATAAAATTGTATTTATATACTTCTTACAACATACTGAAAAGAAACTTGAGATGCCGTTTTTATTAGTTTTTATTTATAGTAATGATTTGTATTATGCTTGTAACACCTGTTGTAACTACTAGTACTTAATAACTAGCTTAAAGCGGGTAATTTGCCCGACTCGGGATCCCTTGGCAGATGTGATTACGATTTGCGATCGCTCTACCAATGAAGCATTTGTTTTACAGACAACATTTGCTGCTTTCAAAAATTATCTGTGGTAAAATGGAACAAATACTTATGGAACGAATAATTTAGTTTTGCCCCTCAGACCTTAAAGAAATATAAATTGTAAGGTTTTAGGTACTTATGTTTATTTCAACACATTTAACTTTGTAATCAAGTAGAATGACAAATAAAAAACTGCCTCGTTGGCCAAGTGGTCGCAAGTGCGACTGCTGGGTACGGGGTCTCGGGTTCGGTTCTCGGGTCGGGCAAAGTATTACTGGATTTTTTAAAAAAATATCAATCGTAGCACGGAGTCTGGAATTGTGCATTATGGCAATAGGCACACCCCCTGTTACATGGCAGTGGCACTCATAACATAAATAGTGAAAGTGGTTGTTACATTGTACAGTTGCATTAAATGCTGTAATGTGCACCTCTGTCTACCCCTTCGGGGATAAAAAGACGTGATGTTTTGTTATCAAGTAGAATCTGAATAGATCCATTATATTACTTCTAATGTATCAATCAATCATACAAAGTCATTTCTATCGTTGTATCATTGTACGTCTGACACAAAGTCTTTCTATTGATACACGTACGCACATGTTGCATGATGAAATAAACCAGCATTTTACCCCAAACTGTTGACAATGACAACACTTATTTACTGCCTACCTACGTCACAATATACGGACTATTATTTGCATTATATTTCATCATGTCAGTATACTGTAAAAACTTCTTTATGACTTCGCTAGCTAATATTTTTTCATTCATATATATTACTGTCGTAAAAACTTGACTGCCTCATCAGTCCAGGGTCCAGGTCCGTCCTTTATTATATAGAACTCATAATCATATATACTATATACCACTATATAAAGCCGAAAGGTTTGTTTGTTTAAAGACGCTAATTTCTGGAACTACTGTGTCTTTAGCGCTTGTCTACAGAGAGTAGAAATCAAAATGTATGGGGATGACACTGATAAGTGTCAAAATTTACGTCAATTCCATATAATTTGGTTTCTATTCTACATGTAGACAAGCGCTAAATGGCATTTGGCTACAGCTGCTGGTTCGATTTGAATATTTCTTTTTATGTTGGATAGTGCATTTATGGAGGAAGGCTAAAGGCTATAAAACATTACGCTACGATAGATAGGAGCCGAGCAGAGCGTGTGAAACCGCGGGATCAGCTAGTAAATAGATAAAGTGGATCATGAACAGGATCATGGATCATGCTGAGCAAAGCCTCTTCTTACACAGAGAAGTTTTGAGCATTAATCACCACGCTTGCTCAATGCGGGTAGCGATTACAAACTTATAATTAGAAATTATAAGTCCAGGTTTCCTCACGATGTTTTCCATCACCGTTTGTCAGTGGTGTCTGAATAATCTTAGAAAGTACATATAACTCGGAAAAAGTCACATTGGTACTTGCCTTTGGTAGGTTTCTAACCCGCATCCTCATGCATGAGAAGCGCGTTTTAAACCGCCGTGCCACCACGACACCCACGATAAACTGGATGTTACATTTATATCTATGTAACAGTTTGTTACACAGAATCCTATTTTCATTTTATGACACCACGTTATCTTGTTTTCAAACTTGTACAAATAACACGAATTGTGATCGTAATGCACGTCCAGTTGTGACATAGAAAAAAATTAGGTAGGTATCCTTTTTGGTATAGATTCTAGAACTTAAAATGAAAACGTCTTATTACTTCAACACATTTTCGACTTTATTACAAAACGTTAGAGTTGAAAATGCAATAAAGTATGTAATTTGAGATATTGGAACAGCTTGATGTGCTTGTCTATTCTGTAAGTACATAAAATGGGTCAAATACATTAATTGTAGGTATTTATTTAAATGAGTCATTGATTGATGGACGATAGTTTGTTCATACTGGGTCAATCTTATACTATTATATGTATAAAGCGGAGAGTTTGTTTTTTTGTTTGTTTGTTTGAACGCGCTAATCTCCGTAACTATTAGTCTGATTTGAATAATTCTTTTTGTGTTGGATGGCGCATTTATCAAGCATGGCTATAGGCTATAAAACATCACGCTACGACCAATAGGAGCTGAGCAGAGCGTGTGAAACCGCGCGGAAGTAGTACTCTATAAAGGCAGGCGAGTAATATTTTTATACAGGACAATAAATTACTTACTAAAAGGAAATAAAAACATTAAATCCACTTCCACTAGGTGTTAAGGAAAATGGAATCTTAAAATGTTCTTATCCACTCACGTCATTTTATTCCACGACAGAACAAGCAGAGAGAGATCATAATATACATATTCGTTTGTTATGGGATAACCATAAGCCGGTAAATGAGCAGACGTATCACCTGGGGGCTTACTCTTGAAACCAATTCCGATCGATCGACATTGGTATTGTGTTGTTACGTACTCTTGAATAAACACTAGCGCCCATTGAATACGTATTGCGTGGATATTGAATGAACTAAATGGTATCGAGTTTGGTTTTATATTCCGTACTCTGAATGCTATTTTAAATGCTACGACAGGGGTTGTATAGGTTTGACATTGGGTAATTATTGAGATTTTGTTGGATTCAAATTGTATTGACATTGATATTGGTTTCAAGAGTAAGCACCCTGATGGTAAGCAATCGGCGTCGCCCGTGGTCGCCCGAAACACCAAAGGCGTTACAAGTGTTACCGGCCATTGGAATTTGATGATTGTTGGAGATTCAGGAATTGGGAAGACTGGGGAAGAGAGGGGAGGGGGTAATTGGGCCTCCGGTAACCTCACTCAGACGACGAAACACAACTCTAGCGTTGTTACATGTTTCTGTGAGACCGTGGTATCATTTTGGTCTAGCCGACCCATTCGTGCTGAAGCATGGCTCTTCCACACTTAAATTTAGACACTATTTATCAGTAAATCCTAAGGTAATAGGGGCGACTATTGCCAAACACCGGGCACAGTATCTTTAGTCACCTAGTTAGAAATACTTCACAAAAACATACAAGCACGATGAGTAATCATTGTGAATTGGAGAATCAATGTCTGGTTTTGTTGTTATAGTGATAACCGGAATATTATCTAGGAGAGAGGTAATTGTGTGAATTGGGTGTAATTATTACATTATCATTCATATCGGAGGTGTAACGCCGGCCGCCGGGCCAAGGACATACTGCCAGCGTCTGACAATTTAGGTACTTACTTATTGAATGGACAGACCTGTGTTAGTCAAAACAATGTGAAATTTTGATTTCTTTTTCTGTTAAATCTGTGCAAAACCTTACATTGTAACACAAAATTCCCACTTGGCATCTTACTAATAACTAATAGGAAATGCATATCCTGAGTGTCATATAAAATCCATTAAATAAAGCTTAACTGCAGTCATAAAGTAACTGCACCATTTTATTTATTTACGAGGTCATTGTTTAACATCGGCCCCTCATAGCACTCTAGTGACAATAGGAAGTGAACAGTTAGCAACAATAATGGTCTCCTAACTGATTTTGGTTACGGGAACCAAATTTCAATAGACTACCCGATGCAGGAGATGTTACAGTGCATAAATAAAGGTGCTGTATCTCTGTTCCAAGAATTGTCAGAGGTCAGTGACTTTACTAAGGAAAAAAAATAGTTTCAATGCTTCCAAGACGTGGCAATCGTAACTAATTGTAAGCGTGATACCTTTTTTTATGGGATAAACTGGTAAACGAGTGACGGATCACCTGAGGCCTTAGTATGAGTTTCATTTACGTTGAAAGTATTCGAAACGTACGCGTTCGGCGCTCTGATTGGCCGGCTCCAATGAACCAACCAATCAGACCGCCAAATGCAGTCTCGTTTGAATACTTTTAACGTAAAACAAACTGGTACTTTGGCCTCTGATGGTAAGCGATTGGTGTCGCCCATGGACACTAGGAACACCAGAGGCGTTACAAGTGCGTTACCGACCCTTTGGGATTAGGAATTTGAGGATTGTAGGGGATTTAAGGATTGGACAAGGGGGGGAGGGAATTAGACCTTTATATAGCAACCAGTCATCTAACTGATCCAGCCTCTGCGCTAACTGTGTAATTAGTAAGAAGGTCATTGTCAAATTATGCGCACAAAACTGTTACTATTTAATACTGCGTTTACTACACATTTCATTGTTAGTAATTTGTTCATATCAAATTATAGGTAGTTGATGCACATTGCAACCATAAGTTCACCTGTCATATAATGTGACAATGACCCCAGCGACAGCAGTGGTACTTACATCGAGGATGGTGAGCGAGTAGGACGCAGCATGCAGCAGAGCGAACAAGAAGATCGGCGTCAGGATCACTGTCAGCTGGTCAAGGAACTATTATTGTTGGAAGAGTGTGGAAACACAAAGTACGTTGAAGTATAATATAAATATGGACTGCCTCGATGGCAGAGTTGTTCGCAAATGTGTTTGCAAGTCTCGGGTTCGATTCCCGAGTCGGGCAAAGTATTACTGGATGTTTATAAAAAAAATCTCAAAAAATCTCGCACGGGGTCTGGAAATGTGCCCGGTATATGGCAATAGGCTCACACCCTATTACATGGGACTCATAACATAAATAGTCAAAAGTGGGTGTTACTTCTGTGTGCACCTCTGCCTATCCCTTCGGGGATAAAAGGCGTGTTATATTATAAATATGGAACAATGTATTACTTCCTATTTTTTAAGAGTTAAAGTATTGAAACTTATTTGTACAATGAATATCTGTGTCAGGGACTTCCTCTTTACTAGTTCAATGAATAAATTATGACCGTACAAAGGCATATAGTTAAATGCGGTCATACATGTAAAATATTTACATCCAAATATAGAGGGTAACTGTCAGGTGTTGCAATTGGAACCTGGATATAAAGGTACTAAGGGTTCCGGTTGGGGGTCGAAACCAGTCGGGTGACTCCGTAAGCCGGATAAACAACTCTAATTTAAGTAAAGAAACATGTTTAACATATATTTTAGACATTTTTAGTATGTATATAAAATTAATTTGTTTTCTTAAAATTAGTCTACTAAATTGACACACGATCTGTGCTACTTAAGACTTGAACTTGAAGTTTTTCGAACATGCATACATTACCACCTGTTTGGTACATTTTCTTTTTTATTTATACTAAACCTGTTTTAATAACGAGGTTTTTGAGGTGGAATGTCAAATCGGAATCAAAAAATAATGTAAATAATAATACATCAGGTATATTACTAAGTGATGTATAGAAATAGGAAAATTTCTAATTTTCAACTTTGTGGTTTCCTAATTAAGTTCAAAAGTCTATTAACAAAATGGGACAAATTGGAATATCTCGACGCTGCCTGTGACCGTGATCTAGTGTTGTTTGAAATGACAATGGGACAATAGTTCATCCGGTTTTACTAACGGCATTACGAGGTATACGAGTACGAAGCCCACCTGTTGCATTGTTTCGTCTTTACCTTGAATGGTATAAAAGTATAAAAACCAAAATATTTACGCATCCATCACTGATTCAAACGTCTCAAGGTTAACGCCCACGTGCTGTGAACGTGCAAGTGTAAGTCGTAGAAAGTGAAAACTAATATTCAATGAGTTTCGAAGAAGCAAATGACACAGAAACTAGATTCTTACTCAGTAAATGTACACTTGAGTAGTAATTAAGAAGTAAAATAAGTATGCAAGTTGCAGATGTAGTTCTGTGGTGTCTGACTTGATCTCTTGTAATAGAGACGTGAGTTTTTGTATTAGGAATAAGGAACTGCGACTAACTTTCTGCTGGCCATTTACTAGCAAAATTACTAAGTATTTTAAGTGGAGAACTACCTCTAACCTTCCAAAATCCACTAAGAGAGATATCACATTTTAGTTAAGACATGTTGTTAGGTCTTTGTTTCTTTAGCTTGAATGAGTGTCATACGTTCGTATGAAAAATCTGGACGATTAATAATTGTTCTTCGAGGTGTAGAATCTTTCGTTCAATCTATCAATAATTATAATGAATAATGAAATAACTATTAGTGCTATTACCTATGTAAATTAAGTTCGAAACATTACGTGCGACTACGTAATATATAAGAACGATAATAAAAATATAATAAGAATGCACAGATAACACAGAGATTATGGCCGCGACGCACACACACACACGTTCACATTGGTGTAAACAAACTATTAGTACCTTTACACACGGTACAAATTATACAAGTTTACACTATTTCGTTAATATACTCGTGACTTTCGTGATCAGTTTGACATAATACTATGAGGAAATAAATACTCAGATATTATCGGGGAAGGACTTACTTTCTTTGACCTTTCATGAAACCTATTCCATTCTTTATTTTACAATTGTGCGTTTTATTTTATCACCATCTTACCCAAAACGCATACTTTTCAATGCCTTCATAGATAAAAGTAATTGTTAAAAAGGATACACAAATTAGGCGCCACGTTCATGAAGATGAGGGAGTAGAAGAGGTAGTGTGCACTGTCTTCCAGGAAGAACCTGGCCATGAACTCCCGGGAGATGGAGATCTCTCGTGCCGGGATGCGCTGGTGCAGTCGAAGTGCCGACGTCGCCGCGTTCGCAAGCAGAGCTTTGTAGAACGCTGATACTGGGCTGTGTGGGCAAAGAAATTGTCAAATATTGCACCATAATAGGTTCTTTAGAAAAAGTAAAGCCATAGGTAATCTGAGTCCCATAAATAATACAATTCTATTATGTGTGACAGTTCATATCACTTTTTATAACACTCTTTGAGCCACTGAGACAAGACACAAATATCTTACTTCTGATAAGACTAGATTCATTTACTGACCCAAAAAACTAAAACAACTGAAGCCTACATACACAAAGACTATAATTCTTTTGTATTACTTGTTCAGGTATGTTAAACAAGTTATTACTTTGTGTAGAACTCTAGAACCTTGTAGTTTCACCCCTCAAATATGATTAGAGCCCTTAAGATTGAACTAAGTATGAGAGCTAGCAGTTTTTAAAAGATTAAGGTTGGCGTACTACTTTTTATTATATACTAGTAGTTGTCTCATCAAAAAAAGTGCCCCACACTAGGACCACTATGTCGTGGGTATGTTACAAACATACAATTTCACATAAACACATAACAACACTCAGTGTAGTTCCGTGCGGGACACGGCACGGTAGCCGGTTGCCCGGTCAGCGCACTAACCGTACAGTCAGATGATCCAAGACTGAATACAAAATACACAATCAAATGATATGAAACTAATTCTAAAATAATGTGGAAGTTTATTTAATACAACCAATAGTGATACTTTAGTCACTATAAATAGGTACTACAATTTGTAATATACTATACAACATACTATGTAACATACTATACAAAACATAGCTGTGTGAGGTAAGTATCAAGAATTTAATACATACTTAATGAGATTTCAAATAGCCTTCATTTTATTGACAAAAACAAATGTTTTTTGAACACTTACAAAGATGAAAACATATTAAAATGTTACTGAATTTGTGTTTGTTATCAATATGCTTTTAAAAATAAAAATATGAAGCAAAAGCAAATCCATTTTGTGGCAGAGGTCAGGGTCATTACCCTCTGTGTTACTGTAATCCTCATTGTTTAATTTACTGAACAAAGGTAACCTTGATTGTACTGAACATGCCGACACATTAGACTTCAGAACATCTATTGTTATACAAAGCAGAAAAACTATGAATACAACTTGCATGAGATGAAACAGATGTCTATCTTTCTTTATTGTTTTAATTTAAGTAGGAATTGTTGTATAATTAAAAGCTCATCTCATGTATTTAGTTTTCAGCCAACTATTTGTTAAAGTGGTTTATTTTTAGCTAGGCACTCATTGCAAATGTGTCTTTAATGATGAAAGATAAAGTTCTTATTAATAATAGAGGAAATAAGGAAACTTTTTACTATATAATAAAATACTAAAATAATGTATTACATATAGACTTAGTCTTGTTTAGTTCTCAAACTTACTAAACAAAGTCTGAATTTTGAAATAGAATATGACGTCGGAGTTGTGTCAGTAATTATTTTCAGAATTACTCATCACTTCCTCAGTCTTTAAATTGTTGTGTAATAGTTAAAGAAATCATTGTAATTTCTTTGAATCTTTTCAGTATACTCAGTTACTAATCAAATTTAGTACATTGTAGTGAAAACTGTTATCATTGCACCCTGTTTGAACACAAAGATATTTTGAATATACTAAAACAAAAATTATATCAGTACTTACTTGTTGAACAAAGGCAGAACATATCCTATGGTAAAGAGTACAGTAAGTACTCGTATGGCCCATAGTGCTACATCTATTTTGTTGGCATTTACATGCGCCTTCAGGGCAGGCATACCCTTGGGTGGGCCAGTGTCTCCCGCTTGAGGTTCTGTCTCAGCCATTTTCTACAAGAAAAACATGTTTTTAATTATTACAGCTATTAAGGAGGAGGTTGTGTAGTTATGATAACTACTGTAATTAAATTCGTCACTCAAAGTAATGAAAATCTAATTAGCAAACAGAAATATAATTGAATGCATTAGAAAATGTATTACTAACTCGAAATTAAATATGGAATAAGGGAAATAGAGGTCACCAACAACTTCTTTCGTTGTTGACTTTCGTCAAACTATTAAATCAAAGAAAAACTACTGAGTTTCACTTTGCCACAGTTTATCAGATAACAATAGATAAAAAGCAGTAACACATTCTCATATTGGCCACTGTGGAAAATCGAAACCACGATTAAACGCTGACTTAATGCGTTTACGTGACCACCTCTCCAGTAGAAAGTGCTATTAAAAAGAATTTTTTGAGTAAGAAAAGTGGATCACTAGGCCATGCTATTAATTTTTTTTGGAACTTTTATCATATTAATAATATCGAAAATATCGTTATTCCGTAAAGTACTATGTATCCTTATTAACATAACGCGATGGCCAAGGACACAATAACTCGGAAAACCAGTTTCAATCATCAATTATTAACAAAATTATTACACTAGTACTATAACAGTGTCATCATACAATTCCTAGAAAAAAATATATTCTTATAAGGAATATATCTTTTAGAGGTACTTACGTTATGTACTAATTAATTAAAACACAGATAAATATAATATTTAAATTAAATACACAAATTGTTCACAACGCAACAAATCGAACGTGCATGATTTGCCGAATGACATTTGACAGGTAAAAAAACTTGCCAGCTATGCAAACTAGCTGCGGGCTGAAAACCGGTGTTAACCGATAAATATGCGGGAATCGGAAGCTATGATTTTCCTAAGAGAGGTGCGGAGCTGTGTCCATAGAGCATATTTGTACCGACTGAGCGTATTTCAAACGGTGACAGATAATGGGATGACACTGACAGTAGTGACAGTTTAGTGAAGTTCAAGTAACACAGCTGTTGTTATTATTTTCATAACCTTAATAACCAAAAAGATCTAAGTTTATTCAATTAATTAAAATACTTATAATGATGTTCCGAAGTAATTGCTATCGGAATCTCATAAGTTTTATTGGAAATAAAAAGAATTCTAGAAAATATAGCGTAATATCTGCAGTTTTAGAGAAACCAAATGTTGGCGATGTAACCGAGATAAAGGTAATAATTAAAAATCTTATAAAAAAATAACTTTTCGAACGCAATACTAAGTTGTTACTTTATTTTAGGGTTGGGTCAAGAATTTACGGAAACAGAAAGACCTGATATTCGCCGACATCAGTGATGGATCTTGTGCACATAAACTACAGATAGTAATTCCTAAAAATCTTACTACTGATGCATTAACTTACGGTTCTTCAGTAAGTATTACTGGAAAGTTGTCCAAAAGTCCGAGGGGACAGTTAGAACTGGTTGCAGATAATATCAAAGTTTTAGGGAGCTGTGTAGTGTTAGATGGGTATCCATTCAACCCCAGGACAACACATCCACCGGAATATACTCGCCAATACTTACATCTACGTCCCAGGACTAATTACACCTCAGCTATATTGAGAATACGAAGTGCTGTTACTAAACACATACATGATTACTTTACCTCAAACAATTATACAAACATCCATACTCCAATACTAACTTCAAATGATTGTGAAGGAGCTGGAGAAGTGTTCAAAATACAGCCAGACAGCGAGGAGACCATAAAGGCAATGATGCAAGAAAACAAAGACAGAGACTCAGTGTACTTTGGCTCAAAAGCATTCCTAACAGTCTCAGGCCAGTTGCATTTAGAAGCAGTGTGTAGAGGGATGGGTAATGTCTATACATTTGGTCCAACTTTCAGAGCTGAAAACTCTAGATCAAGGCTCCATTTGTCTGAATTCTATATGCTAGAAGCTGAGCTAGCCTTCTGTGAAAATCTTAACCACCTACAAGGAGCCATAGAAGATCTATTGAAGTATGTGTTTACTGAAACTCGCAACACAAATGAGGCTGACCTCTTTCTGATAGATAAACATAATAAAGCTCCTAGTTGGGTTAACAAAGAGTTTGTGACACTTACTTATGATGAAGCTAGACAGATATTGTTGAAGAAGGGGTGCACATTGACTGATGAGGGCATCAATAAGGAACAGGAGCTGACCTTGGTGGAACATTGCAATGGGGTTCCTGTGTTTGTGGTCAGGTGGCCCAAGGATATGAAGTCATTTTATATGAAAGAATGTTCTGAAGATAACACACAGGTAACACTATATGAGACACTTTATATCCTTGCAAATGCTGCAAGTAGTTAAAAGTAGTACCTTGTGTTGCCAGTGTGTATTAAATGACTCTTATGTATTGTAGTAAAACTTAAACTTCCTCAGACCCAAGAATTTACCCTGAGTCTAACAAATTTGCAGTCTTATACAAAAGTTTCAACCATTTGACTGCACGGTTGGTGCGGTGGCTGGGCAACCGGCTGCCGTGCAACGTGTCGCGATCGCGGGTTCGATTCCCGCACGGAACAACACTTCGTGCGATCCACAAATTGTTGTTTCGGGTCTGGGTGTCATGTGTATGTGAACTTGTATGTTTGTAAACGCACCCACGACACAGGAGATAATCCTAGTGTGGGGTAAAGTTTTTTTAGAAAAAAAAAAAAATTGTTTATTGCCTTTGAACCAAAATTAAATTAGAGTTATTTTAGGTGGAAGCACTGGATCTTCTAACACCCATCACGGGGGAAGTTGTAGGTGGGAGTCTGAGAGAAGACAGCTATGAGAAACTGAAGTCCAAGTTACCATCGGATAGATTGAACTGGTATTTAGAACTACGGAAGTTTGGTAACATCCCCACAGGCGGGTATGGCTTAGGTTTGGAAAGACTACTGCAAGTTTTATGTAATGTCAGTAATATTAAGGGCACTGCCTTTTCCAAGATGGCCACATAATTGCGATATGTAGGCTTTATTTAAATTATTGTAGTTAGGGATTTTAGTTCCTGTTTGTAACTCTCATCTTGTTACTTCAATAGGTAAATCAAAAATGTTTGTGTTGTCAATGTAAATAGTATGTAAGTGAAATATTTAATAAAATTGTTAAATTATTGTTAATTGTGTATCAACTTATTGCCAAGTCTTTTACTACTTTCAGGAAGGGTCGAGAGGAATCAAAGATAGAAATCATGATGTAAATATTTATTTACACATAGTAAACTAAACAAACAAACAATTTGTAATCAAGAGTTCTAACATGTGATATAGAGTTGATTGAAAGGTTCATTCTGATTACCATAAACCTAAACTATAATAAACATACACCATTTTTTTAAACATTACATTTATTTAATTTTTGTAGGACTTTTTATTTTTATACAACAGAAAAGCCACTAATGCGGCAACAAAACACATCTCAAGGAAATAAAACCCTGCAAAGAGATTCTATATAACTAAATATTTACACATTCTTCAATCATACAAACTCGTGTAACAATTTGTACCCTTACACATAACTCTAGAAATTTACAGACAGGCTAAGTAATCATATATTTACACTAATTTCATGATTTGCCGCGTCCAGTTGAAGGTTCCCTTCGATAGATGGGTCCTCTGCTGAATGTGTGGTATATTCGCGCTAGGATGGTTTCTTCTTCAGCAGTTCCTATTGGTTCCTCTATTCCTAAGGGAATGGAAAAATCATGTATTAAAAAATCATGTGTTAATGTGTAAAATTAAGGTAAAACAGTAACACAATAGTAACAAGAGTGTCGTGTGAGTGAGGTTACCGGAGGCTCAATTACCCTCCTTCCCCCTCCCCCCTCCCCAATCTCCCCAATCCCCGAATCCCCAAAAGGCCGGTAACGCACTTGTAACGCCTCCATGGGTGACGCCGATTGCTTACTACCAGGTGACCCGTCTGCTCCTTTACTGGCTTATGCCATAAAAAAAACAAAGATTTGTTTGCAGGAGTTGTTCAGTTTCAACAATTTGAATATCTGACTTGTGTATAAATGAATAATTATGTAATGTTACTCACCGGGATCGATGGGTTCCCGCTTGACCTTGGTCTTACTAACATCGATCTCTGCGAGATGGTCTTGAGCAGCTCTTTCAGCACTAACTTCAACACCCGTTTCAGGGTCATCTTCATCCACAAGCTCGACCAGTTGTTCTGCTTTGAAACCGCCTTCAGCTTCATTATCTTCGTCCTCGTCGATTCAGAAAGTTCCATAAGAAACTAATATAGAAAGAAGGTAATGTATGTATGAATAATGTGCATAAAATATGTATGTTTGTGAATTGGAATATTAAAACAAATTTGAAAGCAGTTATCTTCAATCGGTTTAATTTAGATGACTAAAAATGCTTAGGTGTTGCAATAACACTACCCACTAATAATTCAAATGATGTTAAAGCTTATCGCGAGATTTGGGTATATTTATTTAGGTAGGTGTCTCGTATTTATTTATTATCTCTTTTCAGCGAGAATAATTAAAAGTGTCAAATTTAATACTTACATCAGCAGGGTCCAACTCCCCCAGGTCTTCGACGTCTTCAACGTCAGACTCGTTGTCAGACTCGTTGTCAGACTCCTCTGCACTCTCTGCAGACTCATCCGCATCTTTGGCTTCCTCTTCCATATTTTCCTCAGATGAGTCAGATGCGACGTCATCAGAGGACTCCTTTACTTTAGGTTCACCTGCCTTTGTTGGTAACTTCACCGGACGCGCAATGGGTTGTTCTTGTTGGTAAACTTCTATTGGGTTTTCTTTTTTTTTAAGTTCACCAATTTTCTTAACGGGTGGCACCAGTGGCAATATACCTTCCATATTAGCAATCTGGACATGTCCAGGCTTAATATTTCCCGGCAGAGCCGAGAACCTTAAAAAATATTTCTCGCTGCCAACAACGATGGGCTTGGGAAGGCCTCCAAATTCTACTTTAAAAGGCTGTTCATTGATTAAAACTGTGCGCAATGAATCTACGAAGCGCACGGTCAGATACTGTCCATTGACCCAAATCTTTTGTACCTTTGCGTCCAAGTACACTGGATGCACCTGTCTAGCATTCACAATGAGATTGACCTTACCGGCTACTAAGTCGGTGCGTTTAGCTTTACCGATGTCCACTTGAGGCATAGGCCCTTCCACATGAACCAATCTTGGTTTACCGTCAATAATTACGCCAAATGGCTGTCCACCGAAGGAACATTCGTACCACCTACCGTTTATATACAGTTCTCGTGTCGGTGCACCAAATTTAATATCGAATACTTGATCATCAAATTCCACTTGCTTGTAGCCTTCACTAAATGTTAGTACTACTGAGTGTTTATTATCGAACGTTACTCGTCTGCATCCAGGAAGGAACTTGATTTCCCTTGGATCATCCCAATCCAGCATAATTACGGCGGTGTTACCGTAAAACCTGATTGCCCGAGGTATACCATTAATTTGGATGATTTTGAAGGGGTCCTGGTCAATATAGTTAACGACTTTAAAATCTGTCGGTGGGATTGCGAAGCCTGGAGCTCCCAATGGAGGTGGAGATTCGCTTCGTTTGTAAGGTGGTAGCGGACACTGTTCTTGACACATACCAATTTTGGGTGTAGGTAGAGGAGGTATTGCCATACGAGGGTCCAAAAAGGGTCTAACAGCCCTTTTATCAAACTTGCCGGCTCGGAAGTATGGTGGCATTGGACCTCGGAATCGTGTAGGACCGAATTTTTCACCTGCTCGTCGTCTTGGTTCACGCCAAGGCATTTGTGGCTGGTAAGGGCCGAACATTGGCATCATGGGTGGGATAGGGAGCAAATCCTTTGTCTTCATATCAAGGGCTTCAGAACCGAGTCGCATATTCGAGTCCTGACCCAACATGCCTTGGCTATCGGGCGACGTGTCGAGGCATGCAGACGGTGTGATTCTCTCATCAATATCACCAAATCTGTTTCGTTCATTAGGCGACGTTTTCGGGCTTGGTACTTTGTTGCTTCTCTGTTTGGCCTCCTTCAGCTCGAGTTTCTCATTAAGCTGAAGGGTTTGGTGCATTAATGTGTTGAATGGGATCTTGTCTGATTGCCCATCTGTGAAGTCTTCCTTTGCTTGAGACATAATAATTGAAACACATTGTTTGTTTTCAACGAAGCCTTGTTCATCGTCTTCCCTGAGATCAGTATCTTCGCTGGACAAACGTCGCCTTTCTCGTTCAGTACCTATAACAAATAACATATTCAATTAACATGCTTGGAAGGTGTGCTTTAAAATTGTAAAATGTAATGAATGAAATTAAATATAATAATATATGTAGGTATAGTGATTAGAAAACCGAATAAAACTGTTTTAATTGTCCAAATACTTCTTCATGAAGCATTGCGTATCGAGGTTGGTACGCAAGAATGTAGTTACGTCGATTGTATGTCGAATTGATAGCGGTCTGTTGTAGGTATTCATAAAATAAAAACAATGTTTAAAAAAACCGACTCCAAAGACCAAAACAAACAAGAAGTAACAACTAAAACGTAAACAATAACTAACTATTATTGGTCAGACGTAGGTACTTATAGCTTACACCCACGGATAGGTTAGAAGTTGTTAAGTTAGTTTTCTCTCTGTTAGAGAAGGGTATCTACAGTGTGCTGTTGAAACCGGCAATATGAATACTTCAAGAGTTGAAAAAACATTTTATTTTCCACACAACAGGCATTTGCACGCTTCGACTTTATCTTATATCACATGGGCGCGGGTGACGCGCACAACAGAGAAGTATATCTTACTTGGGGGCTCGGAGGTCACGGCGCCTTCTGCGCCTGACTCGACGTGCTCTGGACTTGCTGACTTGTCGCTATTGCGACGCATGTAATGCTCCTTATGGTCATTGCGCAATTCCTTGAACGCCATCAGCTCCGGCGACGACGCGCGCTTCTTCTCCGCAGCAGGTGGCAGCTCTGTGCAAACATTTTCACGCTTGCGTTTAGCGGGCACGGCTTCGCCGTCTCGCTTGACTTCTGGCCGGGTAATTTTAGGAATACTTGGCAAATTTCCAATTGTCTTTGGGTCAGGCAACTTATCGACATAAGCAGGCATCGGATTACGCTCCGCTTCTGGTTTAGTATCGGTATGGCTGCGTTCTGACTCTGCTTGAAGCAGTTCTTCGGACCTCCGTTTCCGTTGCTGGCGAGTACGGCGCGTGTGAAAGACGGTGGTGGGCGCCACGACGGCGACAGGCGGTGAGGACGTGGCGGGTACAGTACTGGCGGGTTGCTGTAGACGCGCCAGTCGCGGGTGGCGCCGCTGCCAGGCGCTAACAGGGGCGATACTCTTAGATACCGGCTGCAACAAAACAAATTATGTTATCAAACGATGTCAACAGAATACTAAATGCTAAAAGAACGTGCAGAGCTGTCGCACAAACAGCGTCAATGTACTGAAAAACTTACCGGTCCGAGCCGTTGATCGTCGGCCGCAGGCGCAGGAGTAGGCGTGGCCATGTTGGGGGCGTTTACATTCGTGGGGGCTGTGCCCGGTACCTGGAACAATGCTGCGATTAGTACTGCGACCAATAAATTATTTATGCAATATTTATAAGTTGTGGGCGCTATTTAGAAGTTGAATTTTGGAAGTTTCTAAGATTTTTTGTGAAACTATTTGTAGCAAGCAAACAAATAGGTATACTAATTCAGTTATTTTAAGTAAAAAAAATATTCTGGGTTTATGTTACATTTCAACAAAAATCATAGATACGTAACCCACCGTATGACATTAAGGTCGAAGGGTTTATGAGTAAAAGGGACTTAATAACCTCCCAGATCCCTGAAAAAGTTGTGTCGTTCCATGCGCCAAACGTACCAAGTATGTGGTACCTACCTACTAATGTTGTAAAATATTTATACTTGAATTTGGATTTTTTATACTTTTCGTCTTAAATTAGTGGAAAAATACTAGAATAGCATAATAGGCGTGTCGACAGGGTAAAAAAATCAAAAAAGTAATTAGTCCGTCATTATGATCGCACGAAAATATCAGACACGTAGGTATTTTTTGTTTTATCAAATTAACAGAAGAATACGTACTTAGTTATTCCGCATTAAAATTAGGGAGTGGGGGGTGTTGACGTCACACTTACGGAGAAATCGTACTTAATTGTGACGTCACGCGTCATTTTAACTCAAAATATCTACATGTTTTTTTGGATACGAGAAAAAAGAAAAAATACGTATCGAAGATTTTTAAAATATCTAAAAGACGGACAAAAAATTAAAAAATAGTCGCCATGCCTATTATGCAAGACGGTCTTGCATTGGATCCTCAGTGATTCGCGGACATAAGGGACAAATACAAATACATTCGTTAATTTGGTAAAATATCAAAGAAACACGTGAGAACAACAATACCTATCATACCTAAGTGCCCCTTGTTTCGCGAAGGGTGTAGCAGATTTGCACATATTATAGCACTATAATGGACCATCACAGGGTCTAGTGTAAGAAATAATTGTCAGTACCTAAAGTAAACGAGATTTTAATAAAAATTATAAATCTCAATAATACTTTAACTGGCCCAACACCCCTCGACAGTAAATTGACAAATAAAAACTAAACACTTACCAAATCGTTAACAACGGTGTTCCGAGAACCTATTGGCACGTATTGCGGGTCTGCATTATCAGGATACATTTTTGAAAAGTTCGCACAAACACACTACAAATGATGTCTTACGCACTCAGTAACTCACGATACTACAGGGAAGTAAGTAACGGGTACAAGTCTAGTAGCAAGTAACGATCCTCACGGGATGTATACCGAAACTGAATGTACTAGGTCAGGGATGATCAGGCGCACCTGAGATGTTTGGGACAATTAGGGGTGGGGGTCCAATAAGGACGAAGTAAAAAGTGGGCGGAGCTTAACCCTTATCGCAAAATTTCACACAGCTCTTATCTTTTCTATTGTTTAAGTGTCGCTTGTCGTAAATGTCTTTTTCTAACAATTGTTAAACAATGAACGTAACTCGTAAATGGACAGTAAGTTAATTATTGTGCAACATAGATGTGCATGTGGTATTATTTTGTACAATAGTAGACCACCTAGGTATTGACTACCTAACCTAGCTAGCTGGGTATTTATAATTTAAACAATGAATATCTGGGGCCAGTTAATTATTATTGTGGGACAAAAATGTTAAAATATTTAAATGAATACATGTGGTATTATTTGTAAAAGATTTGACCACTCAATGAAAGCGACTGCTGCTTTATAAAATGAATTAAACAAAAGATGATGATGATGGCAAATCTAGCGTCTAGCTAGTCTAACCAATTCGTACGTAGTACCTACATACTACGATATCAAAGTCTGCATCTAAAAATATTATTCAAAAAGCTACCACTGAGCTGATTAACTCTCCAAATAACCTTTCGACTATAATACTATCCTAGCCTCGGTTTTCCCTATACTTAGTCCAATATTTTTGTCCTCGCACTTTGTGGGGCGGCGTTTCAAAATAAAAGCGTACCTGTATTACATTTTTAGATAAATACTTGTTGCTAATCGTACAAAAGTAGCCATTTTACCTGTTTCAGCGAGTTGACGACATAAACAATAGGTAAAATAGAACCCGTGGACACCCGCGAGTCGCAAGTCGTTACAATTCCTTAATATGCGCTTTACATCTAAGTCTAAATTCTAGACTCTATTATTCTAGTTTTAAAACTAGCGTCTATCAATCTAAGAGTTTGTAGACGCGGCTACCGAAATGTTACTGATTTACCCACTTTTGGCCAAATTATAAACGGAATAGAATAGAGCTTTAGTGATCGGCGAACTTAGTGAATTTTTAAACTTTAGAATGATTTTAGATGTTGAAGATTTATTTTAGAAAAACATAGCCTTCGACAAGAAATCTCAAGTTTTTTGAAGATATACAACTGCAGGGGCACATCCACATGTTTTATGATTTTGTAGGTTGACTAGAAACTTATAAGTATTTAGGTACTCAAGAAATTAAACAATATTGTATTTCTAGATTTTGAGAATTGACCCAGTAGGGTAAAGAATGCGAGTTATTGTTGCACGAAAATGACCTAAGTAGGTACTTACTTGAATTTAGATTTTTATACTTTTCGTCTTAATGTTTGTGGAAAAATACTAGGATAGCATAATTATTCACGACGGTCTTGCCTTGGATCCTCAATGATTCACGGACAAGGGACAAATACATTTGTTAAATTGATAAAACACCATACCACTTGTTTCACGAAGGGTGAATCAGTGTTACACATAATAATATTAAACACTAGACCATCACGGTCTAGTGTAAGAAATGATTGTCAGTAGAGTAATCGAGATTTAAAAAGTTGTAAAATCTTAATAATCGAACCTAACACCCCTCGACAGTAAATTGACAAATAATAACTAAACACTTACCAAATTGTTAACGACGCTGTTCCGAGAACCTATTGGCACGTATTGCGGGTCAGCATTATCAGGATACATTTTTGAAAAGTTCGCACAAACACACTACAAATGATGTCTTACGCACTCAGTAACTCACGATACTACAAGGAAGTAAGTAACGAGTACAAGTCTAGTAGCAAGTAACGATCAACACGGGATGTATACCGAAACTGAATGTACTAGGTCAGGGATGATCAGACGCACCTGAGATGTTTGGGACAATTAGGGGTGGGGGTCCAATAAGGACGAAGTAAAAAGTGGGCGGAGCTAAACCCTTATCGCAAAATTTCAAACAGCTCTTATCTTTTCTATTGTTTAAGTGTCGCTTGTCGTAAATGTTTTTTTCTAAGAATTGTTAAACAATGAACGTAACTCGTAAATGGATAGTAAGTTAATTATTGTGCAACATAGATGTGCATGTGGTATTATTTTGTACAATAGGGGACCACCTAGGTATTAACTACCTAACCCAACTAGCTGGGTATTTATAATTTAAACAATGAATATCTGGGGCCAGTTAATTATTATTGTGGGACAAAAATGTTAAAATATTTAAATGAATACATGTGGTATTATTTGTAAAAGATTTGACCACTCAATGATGTAGCGACTGCTGCTTTATAAAAAAACAATTAATCAAGAGATGACGATGGCAAATCTAGTTTCTAACCTAACCAATTCGTACGTAGTAGGTTTATACCGCCATATCAATTATGTACCTATATAATATTATTAAAATAGTTACCACTAAGCTGACGAATTCTATCCAGATAATCTTTCAACTTTAATACTACCCTCGCCTCTGTTTTCCCTGAAGTGAATAATTTAAGCATATCATTGTTTGTACTTATTCCCTAATAGTTATCTTAGTACTTAAATTGATTTAAAAACCGTATGTAGATAGTCTTGAACCTACCAGGTCATGCACGTAATCGTGTTTAAAGAGTATACCTAAATCCTACATAGGTAAATATTAAATCAGTAACATTTCGCAACCGCGCCTACAAACTGTTAGATTGATGGAAGTTAGTTTTGAAACTAGAATAATAGAGCCTATATTTTAATCCTAATTAAATCAATATTTTGTTACTCTGGATTTCAATATCTGGATGAGTTGATTTACTTAATTTCTATACTTGTTTATTCCCTAATAAGTATCCATATACTACAGACCATTCTGGAGAGTAAGTAACGGCTTGTATTTTTACTCTGTACGATTGTTTTGTTATAGAATAAGGACAGCCAAGGACACAGAAGAGTTAAACAAATTCAAATTCATTTAGGTATTCATTGTAAACATACCTAGGTAACATTAGGGTCTTAAATAACATTTTTAAACGCTATGTTAGGTTTTGTCAGCAACAAAATTATAAAATAGTCGGAAACAATGATTTGGATTGATTATTATTACCTACTTAATGTCATTAGAATTAGGTATTAATTATTATGTCGCATAGGATTATAAATTTGAATGTCACAATATTAAACAAACGGAATGTCAATAGTGAAATAAAAACATGATATAAAAACCATTATGTTTTGTCTTCTAAGTATTCAGTAACACTATAATATGCCTAGGGATTAAAAACCTTTTTATTCTACTATTAAAAACCTTCAAAGATTGTATACCTTTGTAGCAATTCGTTGGCAAATGGTTGTATAATCTTGGTGCCATACAAAAAACGCTACTATTAAGAAAATGCGTTATGTTAGG